TTATCAATCATGCTAAGTATCTCGCTATAATTACAGGGGGCGATAAAAAAATGCATTTCGACGACATAAATCTGGATAAAAATTACACGCCAAGCGGGGCTTATGGCCGATCCAAGTTGGCCAACATTTTATTCACTGTGGAACTGGCCAAACGTTTGAACGGTAGGTCAGCGCATTGGGCGGTGTATCAATTTATTGATGATTACGCAAGTGTACCTACGCATAATATATCATAGCCCGCGAAATAGTACAATGTGACGATGGCGGACATATTTTTCAGGAACCGGAGTAACGGTTTACGCGGTCAACCCGGGTGTCGTGCACACTGAACTCGGAAGGTTCATGGATGAGTCCTTATTTCTGGGCGCGTCGTGGCTGTACAACAGTTTAACCAAACTGGTCGTGAAAACGCCCGAACAAGGTGCTCAGACCACGTTGCACTGCGCCCTGGATCACAACTGTTCCAACGAGAGTGGTTTATATTACAGGCGAGTAGAGTGGCGCCGATGAATATTATAAAATATAAATAATTATAAAACTAAATAGAAATCGTTATAGCTCCACTCTCTGTACTGCAGTAACACAGTGGAGTACTCTTTAGTGCAAGCGGTCGGCAACCATTTTACTTACGCGGATCATATTTGCTATCGGCTTTTCATTGAGGGCCGAATACAATTAAAATACAACGTTATTAAAAATACAATTTTAACATATAACACTAATATATTTATGGATAGCAACAATCATATTATGGGTTCACATTGCGAGGTTGTCTTTATTAACTAGATTTTAATAAAATACATTAATAGAGACAATTTTAAAATGTAAAAAAAAATGATCATTTAAAAATTAAACACCATGATATTATATATTTAGAGGGCCGTAGAAAACAAATTCTGCGGGCCGCGGGTTACCGGTGTTCGCTTGAATCGAAGTCCTCCCTCCCCGTGCTTCCTTTCGAATTTAAGGTGTTGCGTATAGGCAATTATCTTGTTTTTTTTTTTTTTTTAAAAACGAAATTTTATCAACGTAAACATATTCAAATACATTTATTACTAATTCCGTATTATTATCACAAGTATTTATTATATAATCGTGAAATTAACAAAAATATTTATGAAAATACGTTTCATGCTGCAAAAACTCGGGGAACAGATTTAGTCAAAAGGACGTGATACCTAATGCTGTTCGAGTGCTACGCACGAAAGACGTACAAAAGATGATACGCACTGTATTTCCGCCGTTGTAAAATAATGTCAACGTTTTTACACGGAAAAACAGTTTTACGCGGAACAAAACCATTTATTTTAATAATTATGATAGATCGACAATTTTATTTTTTTGTTTTAATAAGAAATTTAGCTTTGACGTAATGTTTTTATTTTTTAGCTAGTATAAAAAGATTTAAAAATATTAATTATTAAAGTTTGTAAACATTTCAAGTTTTTTTGTTTATAATTATAAAATGATTGAGATAAGTTATCAGAAAATGAAAAATTCCACGTCATAGACAATTTTCTCTTTAATAAAAAAAAAAAAAAAAAAAAAAATAGTCAATCTATCATAATTATTAAACGAATGATTTTGTTTCTTTTAAAATTGTTTTTTCGTGTAAAAACGTTGACAAATAATTATTTCGCAACGGTGGAGATACTACGGTGCTTGCAACGCCATCTCTCGTGCGTTGCACGCAAACAGCTTTGGGTATCACCTCTTAAGAAACTAAATTGTAATTACTTAACAAACAAACCTAGCACTGATTAATTTTTGATTTAGATTTTCTTCATCACTATTACGAAAAAAATTATTCGAGTTTTAAAGACTTGAAACTATCGTGTATTAATCAATAATAAAGCATTTTTAGGTTTCGAGAGAAATGCATGCAATATTAGTTTCACAATGACGTGTGCTTTTTTTTAAATTTTATATGTTAGTGTAAATACATTGTCTACCAGAAATCTTGTTCCAATCAAAAAAACGATAAAAGAATTTGTTTGTAGAATTTTGGGTAAAGTTTGTCCCTTAAAGAGATAAATTTTTCCATTTAGTTTTTTTAATAATTTTTAAAAATCTGGGAAAAATAGGAATTTTTACTGTACTAACGGTTTCATCAGTTTTTAAATTTAGTTAAAAATATGCGTAAAGATTTGATATTTTCACAGAACACTTATATTCGATTTTTCAAGACGTGATAACATTTTAAAAACATTATGACAATTTATTGTTGAGTTATTTATACGCATTTGACATTTTCGAGTTTTATTAGTTTTTATTTTAATATAAAATTGTTTGGCCGAACAGAAATGCTTTAATATTTTACTAGAAGTTAATTATTTTACGTTGTATTTATTTATTTATGTATTTATTTATTTATTTATTAATACGGACAAAAGTCTAATTCACAATATATTTGTATAGATAACAATAAAATATAACATAATAAAAAATGAAAAGATTAATATATCAAATAATAGTAATAGTAATAATAATAATGATAATAATAATAATAATAATAATAATAATAATAATAATAATAATAATAATGAATATAATACTAAAAATACATTCAATGTTTAATAAAATAATTAACTATTTCCCGAAGACATTAAAATATTTATGGGGTCATATGACGTAAACTTTTTAGATAAATGAGGAATATAAAATAAATGATTGTTACGAGTGTGGTGGCTATTAACTTTGAAATTTAATTGACTTAATATAAATGAATCATCAATCTCATTATTTAGCAATTTGGTGAGGAACGTACTGTATGATAAGTGTCTCCGTGCATTTAAAGATTCTAAGTTTAACAGTTTTAAAATATTATCGTAGCCAGAGTGAGGAGTTCGTTGAATATTACATGTATGACATAAAAATCTGAGGGCCTTATTTTAAACTTTATCAAGTTGATCATTATGTCCTACATTGTTATGATTCCAAATTATTGGAGCGTATTCTAATAAAGAACGGACTAGTGAGGTATAAAGGCATTTGAGAGCAAGTGGATCACGAAAATCGGAGCAGTTTCTTTTTATCATACCAAATACAGATAAAGCTTTATTTTTAATCGCTGATACATGATCATTGAATAATAGTTTGGAATCAAATAAAATCCCTAAATCTTTAAATAATGACGAACGATGTAGGTTAATGTCACATATATNTAATAAAATGTTGGAGTGTGAAATGGATGATACAGCATCATTTATAAATAAATTAAAAAGGAGAGGGGAAAGGTGATCGCCTTGAGGGACACCAGAGATTACGTTTATAGGTGTCGATATAAAGTTTTTATATTTGACAAATTGGATTCTTTGACTTAGGAATGAGTTAAACCATGATAATAGGGGATTGGCAAAGCCGATTTCCTGTAGTTTACTGATTAATAAAGAATGGTTTACTCTATCAAAGGCTTTTTCAAAATCTGTATAAACAACATCTGTTTGTTGATTATTAGAAAAAGATTTAATTATATGATGTTTAATAGTTATTAAATTGGTAAGACATGACTTTTTATTGCGAAATCCATGTTGTTGTGGTGCTAAAATATGTTTAAATATGGGTGTGAGCTTATTATTTATTATTTTAGAAAATATTTTAGGGAGAATAGAAATTATCGATATAGGACGGTAGTTTGAGATAAATGATTTATTACCTTTTTTAAGAATTGGATTAATATAGGTGGATTTCCAAGATGATGGAAATGAGCCACTATTTAAACAAAAATTAAAGAGATATGTGATAGGTGGAGAAAGTATAAATCTGCAGTTAAATAAAAATATAGGAGAGGGACTATCAGGACCAATTGAATTTTTGTAAGATAGAATATTTAATTCATTGAAAACTTCTAGGAGTTCGATGTGAAGTGAGTTTAACGAATCAATTGATTGAACTATATTAGACTGAAAATTAATATTAGTAGGAGCTGTCACTTTATAAACCGAAGAGAAGTATTGACTAAATAAGTTAACAATTTCTTGACCATTATCAGCTGATTTATGGTTGGATGACATTGTGTTAGGAAGACCAGATGATTTTTTAATATTTTCAATAAAAGACCAAAATTTCTTAGGCTGAGATCTAAAAGATTTTTGAATATTAATTAAGTATTGGGAGTAATCAAATCTAATTAATTAAAGTAATTAACATAAAGTAATTTTTTTTACAATCATACAAGTTCAAAGTTTGACAAAAGTCGTAAATATCACGGTATTTTAAAATTATATATCTTTATGTAGCCTACTTTCCCAAATTTCCACCTACACAAATTACTCATCTATCAGCAATAATAGATTTTTTTTAAATTTGCAATATCAATTATCGAAAAAACCATTTTTACAAAATGCAAGTTCTCCTTTTTCTATGGTGAACATTTGGTTTCTCAATTAAGTCTATAGCTCTCTAAACTATATACATTATTCCAAATACTTTATCCACTTTGAAGCACGGAAAAAGGTAAACTTATCACATTTGAATTTTATCATAAATATTTATTCAATACACGAAATAAAATTTGTGATACTCGTTATATCAAATTTCGAAAACAAAAAAATTAACATTTTAAGCTAAGAACCACTCTGTAATCCTTATATTTTAGAATACTTGTATTTAGGTAGGTTATAATATTTTATTTGAATTTTCGGTTTTTTAGCGATTGTAAAGTAATAGAACCAGAAACCGCGGCCAAAGACGAGAAAGTCAGCCGAGAATTGTGGGACACCAGTTGCACAATTGTTCATTTAGAACCCGAGTACGATCCTTTCAAACCCGAAGAGGATGTTCAAATTTAAATCAACGCACCTTCTATATTGTATAATTCGATAAAATTAAAATTGTTCATTTCCCTTACGATATTAGTTTTGTATAATATACGAAACCATTAAATTATTTTCTATGGTTCATGTTAATGTTTGGGTTTTTTTTTTTCAATGATTAGAATATTTTTTACACTTAATATCCAGATTCAATAGCGTAGTCAGTGTACCGTGGTATTTTCGGGGGGGGGGGGAATGTGGCCGTGATCTAGACCGAGGATCGCATTACGATGGCGGCCATAGCAAAGTACGTGATGAACATTATCCGTTCGAGTGTCACGGCGACGATGTGCCAGAGGGTGAAGCGTCGGTGAGCCCAGATTATTGTAATCGGTCGACTCCAGTTTGGACAAGTCCGTCAATCGTTTTATTGATACGCTAATTATCGTGAATTTCGATGTAAAACTCGACATTATCCAAAATGAACAAATCCAAACACAAATTATATAAATAATAAGTTTAATTAGACTGTCTAAAAGTTTTAAATCAGCATTTAGGAAAATAAAATTTTATTTTAATGATATCATGCGTATTAACGGGGTAAAACAAATTTTGAAGGATCATCGTGGTGATATATGAACCACTAGATGCAGAGTACTTGTTTAGAGCTTTCCAGCGAGTAAACGTTGAGGTCATTGATAGAGGGCACGACATCGACCCATGGAGTAATATATGGACTATATCCTATACATACGGATTTGTTATCTTGTCCAATTTTTAATCTAACTGAACTATTTTGAAACATTCCTGAAAAGATCTCGAATTTATATATTTTTGGCATAAATACTGTTCTAATGAATTATTTTCGGATATTTTACGCGAATCTTGGATTATTACAATTCATTAAACATTTTTTACGTACAAAATCATACGTGCATCGGGCGCTAGTATTACCCGTTTCAATTATTTGCTATAGTTCAGTACTATCAACTAATGAACTAGACAATGACGAAAAACTCATTAAAAATCAGAATTCGCATTGTCCAAGTTTGAAAAAACTTGCTTGACACTATTATTGTTCTATTCGATCGATATGCGTGTTTGTGTGTTATGTGGTGGCGTTCTCGATATTTTGCTAGTTGTGTATACAGAGTATTGCAGAGGTATCAGAAATTTTGATACATCATAATACAATTTACTAAAAAACCAAATAACGCCAAATCCTTATACTCACACAGTAATTATTATTAAATTTGATCTTTTTAAAACATACTGTATGCAGCATTTAAAATACAATACATGCCAATATCTGGGGAATCGGAAACGATGATAACGCATTTTACTCGAAATATACTGCATAGCCGTTAAAAATGTCATAATAATAATATGTACAATAATTAATAAACGAACATTTCATTGCTGTTTATACGACTGTGATATTTGTTAGATTTTTAAGGGAAATAAAAAAACCCGTACATTTTAAAGTAGATATATCAATGTTTTTGAGCATTTTTAGTTTCCAAAAAAGCTTATGAAAACTTTTAGAAATCTATAAAAGTGTTTAAAATTTAGAAGTTATCATCGAGTGGCCAATTTGCATCTTTTAAGGTAGAAGTAAACGTTTTGAAGAATTTTTATCACCCAAAAAAGTATTTTTCGAGGAAAAAATAAAAATAAAAACATATTTTAGTAAAACCAATAGGTTCTACATTTAGAATCTAAAGCGTAGTGATAAAGTATCCTTCATTATTACCTCATCTTTGGTTTGTACAAAGTTGATTTATTATTGTAGTTAATATATTTTGTAGAGCTAACTCTTAACACTATGGCGACTGATGAGTGATGAGCTTGTTATCTGTTTTGTTGGAGTTGATTTATTATAAGGTTTAGGTGTACACAATTATTTTGGTAACCAAGTAACGATCGAAAGTATAATTATATACAATGTCATTTTATACGTGTCCAACTTTAATCTCATCGGATCTCCTATTTTTCATTTTATTATGTTCATTTTTGTGTTTCGGGATATGTTATTACGGTTGATATTATTATTAATATTTACTCTACAAAATACATGTATTGGTAAGTAAGTTAATTTTTGTATGTTTATTGTGAATATAATATGATTAAAAATAAAACAAACAAATAATCATAGTCGAAAATAATTACGATAGTCACGACAATAAATGAATCGCTTTAGTTTTAAATAAGTGGCTGTTACATAAAATATTTCTAACATTATTATAACAAATGCACCTTCATCCACTAATAACATCAGAGAAAAACTTTTATAATCTGAGTGGAACGAGAAATGTCTTACTATAATGTATACTTATTTATAAATTAGTATTTTATTTTGTATCTGTGTACAACCCTCATTCAGAATGGGCCCTAGAAATATTTCTTCAACCTTTCGTTTTTTTTAAAAAAGTTCGAAGGTCACGTATTTTTAGTGTTACTATTTAGTTTATAATTTGTTTAATATTTAATTAGAATTTTGGACTTTTTACATTTTTAGGAAAGCTGTAGAAAAGTTTCTCGTACGTTGTACGCGAGTATACCCATGAGATGTGTTATTTAAAATTATAAAAGTTTTATCGTGTTCCCATCATCGTTTTTGTGCTTATCATCTCTCAATCACTCTAACCCAACTTGCTTAGATTATCGTTATTGAAAACATTTGTTAAATGCTAAAGATTGTAAAGTTTACAGCGCTCTGTCATAATACATAAACGAATGCTAACTTATAGTTATTTAACTTTCAACAAAAATTATTTAAAACATTTATTGAAATGATTGGACGAAACAGGGTGTTTTGCCTTTAACTATTGTTGACGTTGTATTTAAGTTTAAAGAGCAAATTACAAATTCTCACCAACAATAGTGGCTGCTCCCGTCCCCATTATCCTAGGATAGCTTTTTTTTTAAAAAACTTAATGTAGAATATTAATAATAATAATAATAATAATACACCATTATAATTGTTGTTTTTACAAGCGAATTCTGAATCACTACACAATGATTACTTGGTTAACTTGTTTGAGAAGTTAAAACATAAATGGACTTCCGTCAAAAACCACACCGTGACCAAAATACATGAAACAACGGACGTGTCCAAAGCGGAAAAAGAGATAATGGAGATTCTAATGAACGAACTACAAAAGAGGGTTATCGGCAGCGACCGACCGCGGAATCGTTCGGCGGTGGACGGTAAAACAGAAGCTGTGGCGTACGAAACGGACATATCTCACGGTGCTGCCGTGGTCAAAAATTCTGGCTTCGATGTCGATCTCGATTCTGTGGTTAGGTCGAATAACCTGCAGGGTGATGGTGCTCATTTGTCAGGTAACCAGCAGACCTCTATCGGAGACGTCGAGCTTTGGGATGCAACGACGACGGTTAACAGGCCAGAAAAACAGTCGAATTCACTCCATGCAAAAAACCCGAACGTCTCGCCAGATCCTTTGCCGTTGCGGTTCTCGCAGATAATCGACGTGTTGAACCAACCAGACGGTAGCGTGGACGAGGCGTTCAAGACGTTTGTATAGTTCGGCGGAAAACCGGTTCAGCACCGTTCAACGCCCTTTTGATTTCGTTGATAATGAAGCGCTGATGAAGTCAGTTCTTACAAACCTGAAATGTTTGCATAGTTTCGAAAGGCTTAGGCTTAGGCTATGATTAGTTGGATCAATAAACAATAACAAATTGTTGGAAATTAATATTTATTAACCATAACCGTTTTTGACCAAAATTGTACCTTTCCCTTTTCAACCAAACCAAAAATATATCGGTACGGTATTGTAAAAAATATTTTTAAAAAGTATTTCGAATATTTCTGGTTTTATTTTATAGATTTGTAATTAAAGCAACATCGAACCGTTGTCTTTATGGTATACAGATATATACAGTATAGGTACGTAGACATTGTTCAAATACACAAAACATCAAATTAACTCGCATCAATACGTTATCAGTGAAAAAGAAAATCTATAATAAGAATATAATAATATTTATTTTCAGGAAAAAACCATACCTAAGTATTTGTTTTCACAAGCCTTCGGTTTTCGCCAAACAGTAAAATGATTTTTGGGCTAAGAGAAAAAAATTGATACTTATATAAATACCAAATAAATATCAACGGGTTTTCATGATTTTATCGCCATTTCATAACAATTAATTAAATTGTTTTGTTACTTATTTTATTTTCGTATAAATAATGCTTGTACAATATCTATAGTCTGTACGCGTGTCCTATTCGTTACATCGCGCGTCGTCGTTTTTTCACTTTTATAATTTTAACTTTTGAATAATTTGATTTATTTTTATTTTATTATTAAAATGATTAAATTCATGGAGATTAATCGCGGTAAAACATTATTAATTAGTTTTAAATAAGAATACATTTAGCGTGTAGGATCGTGGAATAAAAAAATAGTTCCATACCTTAGTGGTGTAATAACAAATAATGCAATGCCAACGTGTATACGGAAAATAAAATTGAGTACAGTATCATCGAGCAAATTTATCACACAATCATTCTTCATATAATGTAATCGGAATCCAAAGCAAATTGTTAATTCGGTATGTTTGTACTTCAATTATTACGTAGTTTAGAAGAAGTCCATTTGTTGGAGAAAATGGACTTAAAAACTAAACAAGGTAAATATTCTTTATTTGTGAATGGCAAAGAGAAAACATTATATTTCACATTTAATATTTTATTCTTAAAAGAAACCAATACATTTTCATTATGTTACATAACCTTTCATTACGTACAATATGGACAATTTGCATTCGGTAGGACAAATTTTGTGCCATTCATTTTAATATTAAAGCGAATTGACCTATTATCAAACTTAAAGGCGTGCAGATTATCTGTTAATGCTTTTTTGATGTTTAAATTTTTAAGAGAGTTATGGGTATGTGAATTATAATTAGGTATTTAAAAATATCGGAAAAACATCAAAGCAAGAGCACGGATAATCTTCTTAGGTACGTTTTTTTTTAGTAGATCAATTTGTTTTAATATTAAAACTATCGGCGCGAAATTTGTCCTTATGATCGCAAATTCGCTATTTTTATAATATAAAGGTTATATAGGTAATAAAAGAGATAAGAACCTTTCGTAGACACATCAATCAAATATTGACGGTTTTATGATAATATTACATGGACAATAGACAAATGCATAGATCATGCATAAAATATACACAACCAAGATGGATTTATAATGTGAACCAACTAGAAAAAAAATAATGATACTATTATAATTTACTAGTTAATTTTACCACTAGAGCGCGTTGATAACCGTAGGTATCTTGTTTTTGTATGTAGTTGGTAAATACAGAAATATAATTCTGTATAATACATAGCCACATAGGTAATAAAATTCTATAATTTAGGAAATAAAATAAATTTAATTAACTGTCTTAATTAATACAGATTAGAACAAAGCTAATTACCAAAAGTTATTCGATGTATCAATAAATAAAATGTATGAAAAGCATTACAGGTAGGAAAAACTAAGAAAAACGTACCCTTCTACATAGGTGAGAGGATATTAGTTGCTATAACTTATGGTTTATGATTCCACCTTGTACTTAAGGTAATGGAAGACCGAACCATTATATAAGTAAGAGAAAGAAAAAGAGATATGGTCTCTCTTTCTCTGTATGTTTGTCTATATCTAAATAAAAACAATTTATAATACCCCTAGGTATTAAAATAAATAATAATTAAATAACAAAATAAATAGTAAATAGTTATACATTGTTTGAAGTTTTTGAAAATTTAATAAAATTAGAAAAATAATAAAATATATTACCTATACTGTAACTTTGAAAAATATTTCAATGTATTTTCATGTAATGAGGTTATATTGTTCATATCCATTCTTCTGTTATAATATATTATTGTAACAGGCACGGATCCAGAGCAAATTTCTGGGGGGGGGCCAACAATTTTTTTTCCATACAATTCGTATACACAAATCGGAGAAATATTATGTCTAGAGGGGGGCTGGATCCCTGGATCCGTTTCTGTACGGTAACGATTGTACTATTATAAGAATGTCCGAGAACATTTATAAATTACACAGGCGTGAAAATTCCCAAATATTCTATGATCGGAACAGGGGCGAAATCTACACCATTAAATAAGCATTCATGTTAATATGTGTATAACACCAAAATAATATCAAAATCAGTAGCATAGAATACTTTACAAATATATAGCCAAAATATTCCATTTTTAAATTATTATTTTTTAGCGTTTTATTTTTATTGTGTTATTTGATACCCCTAAAACCCTAAAATACAAATAACTCAATAAATACTCTGATAAATACCCATGGAAATAAAACCTCGAAACTAAAAATTAACACATAATATTATGCGACATGTGTAATGCGAATAATATTTCTACGTGACTGATGGTATGTGTATAATTTAATATTAAAAGTAATATAAGCGCGCCACTGTAGTCTGAGTTAACTAGAGTTAAGTCAGGTCCATTTAGTGGCTTAACTTAGTCCACGGTGGCATAATCTGGAATGAAATACAAATATAGTAGTACGGGTAATTGTACAGTGTATAGGTAATTTATTGCTTTTTTTTTTTTTTTTTTAATTTTTCAGTAATCGCTGACCGTCATCAAATATAAAGTCTAAGGTAGGCGGAGGAAACAAGAATAACAATCAACTGTGCATCTGATTGTACATTTTGAAGCATAACAGTATTGGGTATACTCATTTACACCTATCGCAAATCGTGTCGACAAAAATATAATAACCACTGTATTATTGAGTACAGGTATAGGTATTTTTTTGTTTATTATACGTATATATATATATATATATATATATATGAGGCACATAGGTACCTGAACGATAAATATTTAGGATCATTGCCTTATGGCTTTGTAAAAAAAAAAAAAAAAAAAATAATATATACGTATGCAACATTCATCATTCATTATACATTATGCCTATTTATGATTATTATTATTATTATTATTATTTTTTTTACATTAATGTACAATATCAATTTATAAAGTATTATATTTCTGTGCTATTGTAATGCACGCGTATCACGGTGAAATATCCGTTTATTACGATAACGCACGCGGGACGGCACTGGAAAATGTATAGTCTCCGTTCCATATTGTCCGGGAATACAACGTTAGGTATTGTCATTCGTTCCGGGACAAAAGTGCTATTATTTCTATTAGTTCCGATTAGAAATTATATTCAGAATGCCCTTGGAAACGTTTCGGTCCGAACGCCGGTACGTCGTCTTGACGTCATTAACGTATCGATGCACAATACAATAAATAATATAACATCGGACGTCGTTTTGCATATCCTCTGTACGCGCGTAGACACAGCACCTATATTGTTTGGGTGAATTTCGCGGAATTACATTTTTCGTAATGCATGGATTGAAAAAAAATTTTTTTTCGGAGGTTGATACTCAAAATGATAACATCGCGTTTTAGATTGTGAGCGCGACGGGGAACGTATTGGTTTTAAACTTGACCAATTTATACACTAAGTGTACTAAGTTTTACTGGCGTTTTTTTTTTTTTTTTTTCTGTCGCAGTTTGCACATCAATTTTTAGACAAACGTTAATTTTGTCACAGTTCACCACTTCCCTTTAAAACGGAATATAATCATTGTAAAGAACACGCGTTTTTCGCGAAAAGATTTACATCTCGAATGGCAATGGCCAACGACATACTATAAATATACTATTACCATTCGCTTATTTATTCATTCAAAACGAAATGGACCATATTACAAATTTGGGTAGAAACATAAATTACCGGGACGTACAAACGTACCGCTATTGCAATTATATTTTAAGTAACACAGTACTCGCGTCTCACGTACAGATAACAAACTACACACGACTCTAAGGACTACAGCTGAACACATACAAAATTAATTTTGTTACCCGCGACCGTTTAAAAGGCTGGCAGTCAATCGCACAATTTTTTTCTAACGTTTTCTGCATTTAATTGTGTGTTAATCGCGTACGGTTTAAATGTTATTTCGCTCCGTGTGTACGCTCAGCGTCATTTCGATACGGCGCGCTTCAAAACGTACTCAACAAGAAGAATATTAACCTGAACACAGTCCCGAACGCGTCCATCACGGCCGTTTGTTTCTATTAGCGGCCGCCGCGACTCGGCGAGACTCGGTGGTATAATCGTATCGACAAGGAAACCGCCGCTACAGCGTCGTGACACCGCGCGTTCGTGTTTTACTTATACAGTTTCCGGACGTTTCGGTATTATTGTTACGATCATTTTCGCGCGTATTCACGAACATATCCATTGCGCCGGATAACAATCGGTTTTTTACGGCCACGTGCCCGGGTCGTAGAGTATACGCACCCCGGCGACGACGAGACCGCGCAATCGCCCGGCGCCGCGGGGAAAAAAAAAAAATAGAGAAGTCGGCCGGTCGGATGGCGCGGAACGTCCGCAGCAAACGTCCCGGCGCGTCGTGTCTGGAACCCCGGCGCGCGGGTTCGCGCCGCGTCCGTTTGTCTCCGGGAAACCCATAAACGTCGCGCGTTGAAACCGGACGACGAGTCGTGAAATCAATCGCCGTTTTGAACGGCGGCGGCGGCGGCGGCCAGATGCGTTCTCCGGGCGACGGACGCGGCGCGTGTGTGCGCGCGCATTTTCCACGGTACTCACGGGCCGACGGGCGTCGTCGTCGTCCGCGTTGTTCGTACTGCAGTGACGGGTACCGGGGGAGGCTTTTATTATTATTGTTATTATTGTTTTTTTTTTTTTTTTTTTTTTTTTTTTTTTCCGAACGGCCGACTCATAAGTCACGCCGAACTGTCGGGAAATTCGTTCCGTACCCCGAGATCCGATCGATTCGATCCGCGCGTCTCGAAGAGAGAGAGACAGACAGACGGACGGACGGAGAGATAGAGACCATCTGCTTTTTGGCGAAAAACTACGCAGCCGTCCGACGGTTACGCTATTATTGTCGCTGTGCGTGTGTATTGTCGCGTGTAGGTACACGACGACGACGTTAACAGTGTGCGGACGGTGGCGCGCTGCAGCCATCATATGGAAACGGGACCGCGGGTCGTTTTCGATTGTACAGGCGCTTTTCGAAAAACCCGCGGGCGTCCCCGCTCGGACAGAAACCGATAAACAGTAGCAAAAAAAAAAAAAAAAAAATGTTTTTTAAAACCGAAATTATTCGCGCGCGCTCTTCGCGATACCGTTGTATCGTTTCAAAGATTTACAACCCAACAAGCCCAAAACACAATTATTACAATAATTATTCACTAACGCAGAAAACGCCGCGTCTGAATGTACGTAGACACCGTGTTTAGTGTCCGCGTACGGTTGTAGTATTTTCTTCTTTTTTTTTTTCCATCGGCGTTTCGGGTTCACGAAAGTTTTTCGAAATTTATTTTTTTAAGGTAGGTAGGTATTAGTTGCGATGCCCGGCGCGTTGGCTGCGGGCCGCCGAGCTTCCATCTGTCGGCGAAAAGCCCGAGAGTCGCGCGTTGTCCGGCGTGGGAACCAGATGGCGAGCCAGTTACGTGTTTACGGCCGTTTCCTCCGTCCGTAACGTACCTACCCACACAGTGGCGCGCTCGGGAATTTCCAATTCGGTGGGGGGGGGGTCATTGGTAATTATTAGAAAACATGCGGGGGGTGCGCATAACTCAGGTTACGACGTTTAATATTATTTT